GGAGAGACCGTGAGACTCCTATCTCCAATAAACCACCAGAAAACCGGAAGTGGCGCTGTGGCTCAAGTGGTAGAGCGCTCGCCTTGAGCTGAGGAGCTGAGGGACAGCGCCCAGGCCCGAGTTCAAGCCCCACGACCGACAAAAAAAATAAATAAATAAATAAATAAAACACATCTGTTTTATTTCCCTGCAATTTCCTTAACCAAAATGAACTTGTCTGTGTGTCAAACAGCTGTGTACATACACAGCTGTAAGAATTTGCCTGCCTACTGACTGCTCTCCCTCCCACACTTGTGACATCACACGCTGCTTGTGACACCAGGCCTGCTTGTTCCAAGCTTCTGGAAGTCTAGCCCTCTGTCTACCCTGTTGAATTCAGGGACTTAGACTGCCACCAATTGGTCCTGAGCTTGTTTGGCTTGGGTGACCCCGGACCCTTTTGTAACAGAAAACTGCTGGGAGAGCCACGTGACAGGAAGCACCAGTCACCAAGGGATGGGGAGATTCAGCAACAGCAGTGCTATGTGGAGGATTTAAGGCAAGAAATCTTAGCAGGACAGATCAGAGCTGAGAAGGAACTGGAATCCAGCCGCGCTTGTGTCCACCAACAGACCAAAGGCAGTAAGTGCCCACCATTTTACCTGTCCGTTTCACTGAATTTCTCTAATTTCATGCTTCCACAACCTTCTGTATTCTCCTGTTTTCTTTGTGATATGACGGAACCTTCGGCATAAGGTGTTCTCTCGCTTCCTTTAGAGACCCCGGGGGCTGTAATAAGAAGGGAGCCAGCTTCCTTGTGGCCTCTCAGAATGTCAGGCCTCCTACTTATGACTTGCTGTCATACTTGGCCATGCTTTTCTGCCTGCTCCAGCCGGTACCCACTGCTGTACCAAGGCCTAGGAGTCTTTGTCCCTTTCTCTGTCACTATCCCTCTACCACTATCACCTTAGCCAGCCCTTTCCACCCAGTTTCATCCTGGCTGGAGGTGTCTGAGTGCAGCTAGCTACGGAGGAAGAAGGATGTGCTGACCTTCTCTCTGGGTGTTTTTGGTTCCCAGACCAGCAGTGGCTGCTCAGACAAGAGCCCTGGCTGGCCAGCTTACAGGAGCAGCAGGCGGACCGTGGAGCAGGGGAAGAACTTGAGGTTTCAGTGGCACCTGATGCCTGGATTCAGACAGGTCTTGAGACTCCACCAACCCCACTGGTCCGAAACCAGAAGAGGGTGGTGCGGCTGCAGTTTCTGCGGAGACACGCTCTTCGGGTAGCGGAGCGGAGCATCCGGAGAAGAAAGGTTTCATTCCACCTGGGGAGAATCATTAAGAACCAGAGGCTACAGGAGGCCCAGAGGAGACTGGAACTGATCAGCACACCGTGCTGGCCTCAGGATGACAGCACCTGGAAGTCCCCATGCCAGATACCTCTAGTCCCAGTGCCTCGGCATAGAAGCAGATGGGCAAGCTGCTGTTCTTTGGGTGTCCAAAAGTTCTGCAGCCAGCACTTGTCCCAGCTATACAGGTACAACCAGTGGTTGTCACCTAGAAGCACCCTATCCAGGCAATGTTCTTTACTCCCCAGTGCTTAGTGAAGCGGAGGATTGCGTGTGTTCCTCCCTTCCCCATCGCCATTCTGCCCTCTGGCTTCTCTTCTTTCCTCTGATCTTTCCAGATCCAGTCTCCTCCCTTCTCCCTCCCCTTCAGAGAGGCAGCTCCTGCGTCCTGTGATAAGGATCTCAGCCTCTTTGTCATCCACTCTTCCTACCCAGATGTCCCAGTGCATTTCCTTATGTATCCTGCCACCTTAGTCTCATCCTGCCTCAAACCAGACTATCCTCCCCACATCTGCCTGCCTCTCCTGCTTTCCCTGCCCTGTCACATCAAGTCAACTTCCTGGCCCTGCCTCCTGGTGGTGGGCCAGTTAGTTTTTGACTTACAGGCTCATGTTGGGATCTTGTTTCTCTTCCCTTTCACTCCCAACTGCTGAAAAGAGGATAGCTCCCAGATTCTTGGAGCAGAGGCCTGCGTCTAGTCCTCCTCACGTCCTCATAGCCTACCCGGGGCCTTGCCCACAGAAGCCTTGCCGTTAACAGCCTGAGGTTCTTACCTTTGCTCACTTCTCTGGTCCTCAGAGTACTAGGCAGGATTTTTTCTTTGAAAGCATTTAATTATGAAAAATTTTTCTAATAAAGTTGAGACTCTAGTATATATATATATATATATATATATATATATATCACCCAAATTTGCTGAATTAATTACTTGATATAATCTAAAACCTAGTCCATACTCAGCAACTTGCTGAATCTTCCACCTTCCCATTTCCCAAAGTCTTTTTCTTTTTTTTTTTGGCCGGTTGTGGGGCTTGAACTCTGGGCCTGGGCGCTGTCCCTGCGCTCTTCAGCTCAAGGCTAGCGCTCTACCGCTAGAACCACAGCGCCACTTCCGGTTTTCTAGTGGCTTATTGGAGATGAGAGTCTCATGGACTTTCCTGCCCTGGCTGGCTTTGAACCTCGATCCTCAGATCTCAGCCTCCTGAGTAGCTAGGATTATAGGCGTAAGCCAAAGTCTTTTTAAAACAACTGACATTATGTTATTGCAACCCTACATTTTTATTTTTATTTAAATATTTGTTTTTTTGCCGGTCATGGGGCATGTACTTTGGGCCTGGGTGCTGTCCCTGAGCTCTTCAGCTCAAGGCTAGTGCTCTACCACTTGAACCACAGCGCTACTTCTGGCTTTTTCTGTTTATGTGGTGCTGAGGAATCGAACCCAGGGCCTAATGCATGCAAGGCAAGCACTCTACCACTGAGCTACCTTCCCAGCCGGACAGTAGTTTCTTCAAATCAAGATCCAAAGAAAATTTATACTTGTGATTATTACACCTTTAAGTTTCTTGGTATCATCCTTTAAATTTTTATTTATTTATTTTTTTGCTGCACACTGGTGGCCCACACCTATAATCTTAGCTACTCAGGAGGCTGAGATCTGAGGATTACAGTTCAAAGCCTGCCTGGGCAGGAAAGTCTGCAAGACTCTTATCTCCAATTAACCACCAAAAACCAAAAGTGGCACTGTGGCTTGGGTGGTAGAGTGCTTGCTTTGTGCTGAAAAGCTTAGGGACAGTATCCAGGCCCAGAGTTCAAGTCCCATGACTAATGCTACATATATGTGTGTGTGAAATCTTTAAGTAGTTATACAACAGAATTGCTATCACCAAAGCAGCTGAAATGTTTCCATTTTTGAGTTTTTTTTGTTGTTGTTGGTTGTGGGGCTTGAACTCTGGACCTGAGTGCTGTCCCCGAGCTCTTCAGCTCTAAGCAAGTACTCTACCACTTGAGCCACAGCCACTTGAGGTTTTCTGATTGGTTTATTGTATATAAGAGTCTCTGGAACTTTCCTGCCCAGGCTGGCTTTGAACCATGATCCTCAGATCTCAGCCTCCTGAGTAGCTAGGATTATAGGCGTGAGCCACTGGTGCTTGGTGCCTTTTTGAGCTTTATTTCTTCATTTCACTGATTTGTTAGTTCTGTAAATTTATCTGTTTTTTTTTTGTTTGTTTGTTTTTTGGTCAGTCGTGGGGGCTTGAACTCTGTCTGGGCCTGGGTGCTGTCCCTCAGCTCTTCAGCTCAAGGCCAGCTCTCTACCACTTGAGCCACAGCGCCACTTCTGGTTTTCTGAGTGGCTTATTGGTGATGAGTCTCGCTGACTTTCCTGTCCGTGCTGGCTCTCAACCGTGATCCTCAGCTCTCAGCCTCCTGTGTAGCTAGGATTACAGGCGTGAGCCACCAGCGCCCAGCTTGGCTTTTGTAGCCTTTTAAGAAAAGAAAGTGATGGAAAGTTACATGCCTCTGTGACCTCTCACTTTTACTGAGATGGCTTTCCTTATCTCCACAGTATTTTCCTGAATTGGGATCCCCCTACCACATTACTGCTGATGCCTAACCCTACTCACCAGAAACCAGACAAAGCCCCACCTGCAGATCCAGTTCACCAGGCTCCTCCTTTTCCACTAAGGATAAGACATCTGTGCAGGCGCAACCCCCATCCCACAGGCCAGGAGCAGCTCTGCTGGGCCAAGGGAACTTCAGGCACCAAGGGAGCCTCCACCCCAGACCCCTGCCTCACTGTGAGCAGCCACGAGGCTATGGACATCCAGGAAGTGGAGAGAGTAGGTAAACAGCCCTGTCAGATGGCATCCCTGGGCTTCATGTCTGTGTGCCAGTCAGTTAACGAGCTAAAGCCAAAGGATAGACTGAAGACCTTGACCCCTGTCATCCAGACCAGGAGTGCTAAGCGACTAGCAGCCTCTGTCAGCCCACAAGCTGAGTGGCAAAAAGACTGGGACCTTGGGACCCACAAGCCTGCTAAGGGAGCCATTTGCTGTCCCCTTTATTCCCATGGACCCAAGCAGGCAGCTGGGCATGGAAAAGGAACCAAGACATTTCAGGCCAAAGCCAAACCAACTTTTCCAAACAAGACAACAAAAAGGCAACAGAAAGTGCTGGCAGCTAGGGTCAGAGACATCGCCAGACAGTCCTTTCATTTGCCTCATGGTAATCCTTTGAGGAGACAACCTAACTCAGGAAATCCAGATAGCATGACTGCACTCCCAGATTCCAGCCCTGTAGTGGATCACACAAGAGAAGAAAATGATTTATCTGACGCAGATAGCAATTACTCAGTGGATTCTCTCTCTTGCGTCTGTGCTGAAGTCCAAAGAGAGCCCCCGAAGTCAGAGGACCCTCAGGGGAAGTGGAGTCTCCCTGAACCAGAGAACTCTGAAAGTGACAACAGTCAGATATCTGAGGATTCACTGGCTGAAAATGGGTACCAATGCCCAAATGAATTTCTTAGGGACAATCACCCCACCAACCATGGCCACCCAAGGACTAGAACTACAGCCTCCTTGCGAGGCTTCTGCACACCTTTGGACTGTGGTCCATGTGCTCAGGCTCACAGAGGCTTTTCCTTGGATAGCCTGATCCGTGCTGAGCAAGAACTGAGGGAAGACCAACAAGAAGAACCTTGCCTTGGTTCAGTTGATGAGATGCCTGCAGAGACCTTTTGGCATCTACCCAACTCAGCTTTTCCTGTAGGAGACCAGGAGGCAGCATCCAGGCCTGGTCTCATCGATCACAGAATAGAAGCTAAGCTGAATGCTGTCCTGCCAATGAGCAGTTCATGTTACCTTGATCCTCATTTCCAGCCCCGTTGTGAGTGCCTTAAATCAGAGGTGGAGGCAGGCTACTTTGAACAAGCTGGCTCTTCCCAGTGCACACAGCTTCTAAGAGGGAGCCCGCTAGTGTCCACGGACTCGTGGTTTTCCTGTGACTCTAAGATCAATTCTGGCAGCCCCCCAGGAGTAGTGAGTTCCTTATGTGCAAGTCCTGACATCCAGGAAGCTCAGCCCTGTGCTGAGGAGAAAACTGGCTACAGGCTAACTACTGAAGAACAAAAGCCTTCAGGTGCAGACAAAGCTCTGCCAGGCAGCTCCAGACTGCTCCAGGGAGGTCCTGAGCCGCCATGTGGTGCAAGAGATCCATACCCAGCCTCTACTTCAGACCCACCCAAGCTGCCAGCGTGGGAAGCTCAAAGGCTTCATCCAGGCATCTTTGAGGGTAGAGAAATTCCTGTCATAACCCAACAGGGCGGTTCTGAAGCTTCCCACAGTTCTAGTGTATCAAGCATGTTGGCTTCCTCTGCCACCTCATTCATCCATGTAGAGAGCCTTCCCGAAAGAGACTGGGATTCCCTTCAGCAAAAGTACCTCCTTGAACTCTCTCATCCTGTTTCAGATGCTGTAGGAGAGCTCAAGCAAGCTTTGTTCTGCCCCAAGGAAGATTCTGGCTCCCTGGCTGAAGCTTCTGGTAAAAAAGGAGATACTGGAGTGCCAGTTGGCTCTGGGATATCTAGCAATCTAAATGTCAACAACTTCCTAGTGCATCTGTCTAGAACCACGCATTTGAGAACAGAGAAAGACCAGGTCAGTTCAAGTACAAAGTTAGAAAGTGCTTCTGATTTCCTCAGCACTAGTGACAAAGAAGTGAGTTGTCATGGAGCATACTCAGCAGATGTGGAATCACTGACATCTGCTTCTGCACATGTACAGGTCCAAACAGCCAAGAGCAAGGTACCACATTCTGTGACAGGTGCACATGAGGGCGGACAGAACAATTTGGAAGAGGGCTTCCATGGTAGCCGGAAACGTGTACTACTGACTTCCTCTGATGAGTATTTCTTTCAAAACCGAGTTTGTCGCAGTAATGGCACTGTAGCTACCAAAGCAGAGGATTGGCTCCCAGACCAGGCTCTTTTCAGGAAGAAGAGTGACAGCCAGGCGGGACCATTAAGTCAAAGCAGCCATCCTCCTCCCCTAAGGGAGGAGAAGAACCATTGCCAAGAGAGTGCTGACAAAGCAGGTAGAAGGCACAAAAACATTTCCTTTACATCTCCATCAGTTCCAGAGCTCCACCTCCACTCTGCTCCCTGGAACCCTTTTCCCACTTCCCTGCATCCACCCCCCTTGGAAACATTCTATACAACCAAGAGCAGAGATGCCCTGACGGAAACTGCCCTAGAAATTCCAGCCTACAGGGAAGTCCGGGGGCCATCCCCGTCGCCTAGAGAAGCCTGGGGCTTTCATCCCAGCCACCAAGACCTCCAAGAACCTCATTTGGAGAATAGTTTGCCAATGTCATCCCAAAGCCACGATCTCAAGATGGCTTCATTTCACCAGGTAACAACAGACAGGTCAGTTGATCTGTGTGCTAGGGAAGTGATTGGAAAACTAGAGGAATGCCTTGGAAATATTGAAGAAAGCCACAGTTCTGTTTATTGTTTTTTCGCTCATAACAGACACTGTGTCCCTTCTACGAGCACACAAGTATGTGAATTTGAAAGTCAAGTTGGAATTTTAAATATAGAGCAGCATGGAGAGAGAGAAAAGGCTCCTGTGCAGAGCCTCTGCAGTGCTTCCCTAGACAGCTCTGAGTCTGTTAGTGCTCAAGTCTGTTGGTGCCCTTCTGAGGCAGAAGGGGAAGAAGATCCGGGTCCAAGTGTGGTTGTCCTGCAGGCCCAGCCCCGTGAAAAAGGCAGACAGTCTCTTTCTGGACTCAGGTCTGGTTTTGTCTGTGAAACCACTGATTTGGGCCTAGAGAAGGACATTCCCCTGACAGCCTCTGCTGCTTTAATGTCCAGATCGGGCCAGCATAGAATGAAAAAGACTATGTCCCAGGGTAACAGTCCAGCCCACACATGGGAAGGAAAGAATGAAACAGGACTTGTTGGAAAAGCTCTCTATCCCAAAGACAGCCCAGAAGAGTGTAAGCTTCCAGGGCTGGAATCTGCCTGTGAAGGAGTACGGTCTGTTAAATGCTCTAAGAAAAGACATCCCGGTGGATGCAAGGGCCCCAGAAAGTCACAAGTAATGGTTGGCATCAAAGGAGAACCTTGTGAAAAGAAACACACACAAAATACTACGAGTGCTGATGAAATGGATAAGCTAATTAGGAGTGTAAGGCAACTGGAAAACAGCATCTCAGAAATTGAATCCCAGCAAAATAATCGGCTTCATGCTTCCCATACACCAGGAGTCAGTAAGGAGTCAATGTTCCAGGACCAGAACCACAGGAGGACTGGCCATCCCCTGAGGCCAGGCAGCTCAGCAATCCATCTATCCTACAAAGAGCCATCTGTTCCAAGACAGATTGATGATGCGATCTTCAGATATAGCAAAGCTGGGGGAGTAGAGGTATACAGTTGCCACAGGGTCACCACGAGCCCCTTCAGGTCAAGTGAGCATGCACAAGACTGTCAGAGTGTGGGAGCGCACACTCACACAGCTGATGTAGCGTTAGACAGAGTCTCCAGAGGCACATGTAATCCTTCAGGAAGAGGCACAGCTCAAGGAGAGAGCACCAATACTACTCTTCACCTGGGGAGAATGAAAAAATTGGCGAGAGCTTTGCCAACCAGACTAGAGGGGTCTGGGAAGGACATCGAGCTGGGAGGAGAATCAGCAAACTCCAAAGAACAGACGTGGGACTTGGAAAGTTTTGAGGAACTAGAGACTGTAAAAGGTTTTCAGATGAATCAAATTGCTGAATGTTCTAGTGGTTCAGAGCCAGAGGACCCAGTAGTTCAAGGTAGACTTGAACAAATGGCCAGGAAAAGTAGAAGGTGCCCACTGAAAGAAAATATAGACCTAATAAAGACTCAGAAACTTCTTAATCCAAGCCAGCACTGTTTGGATACAGTTTCCAGCCAGGAGACTGCCTTTCCCTTACTGACCCAGACAGACTTTTCCGCAACTACTTACTGCCAAGACCTGAGGAATAATTCCTTGCCCTTGGGTTCTCCCAGGTTGCCCAGAAACCATCTTCATGCTTCTGATTCTCTAAATATGTCTTCAGTTGAGACACTGCTGGATCCTACAATGCTGAAGATTCATGAAAGTCCCTTGGGAACCAGAGTAGGGCATCAGGACCAGAGTGGAGGGACCGGGAGTCCCGAGGGAAGTGTTTCAGGGGGCTTCTCCATGCCACCCACTGCTTGGTATGGGTCTGAGATGCCCACACCCATGGAATCTGATGGCCAGTCCGTTATATCGGACAGCAGCATTCCACTAGGGACAGAGGACTGGATGACATCAAGCACCAGCTCCCACGACCAAGGGAGGGACCTCAGAATCGCTTTGATGGCTTTGAGTACCCAGGAAGATTTGGGGTCTGAAACTGAGGCAGCTATACCAAAAAAAAGGTCCAGTTCCTTGAACAGAATTTCTGGGCGGCTTGAAAAGAGGGTCAGCTTCCTCTTAGAAGAGGACACTGACCAAAGTGGGGAGACAAGGGAGAAGACAGAGGAGGCTGAAGACCCAGGCCCCGCCAGCAGCACCTCCTTAGAACCTATTTCCCTGCCACAAGAGCCTGAGGCAGAGCCCATGCTGTCAGACTCCTCCGTCCATGCGTCCATGTGCCTGGCCATCCTGAAGGAGATCAGACAGGTTACCACCCAGAGAAAGCAGCTCGGAGACTTTGCCATGTTGGGGACAGTCCTCCCTCACTATGAAATGTCACTAGAGCCTGAAAGTTCTTTAGGCACCACTGAAATATGCTGGCAAATGGACCCGTTACAAGTGTTAGATAGGACCCAGAATGAGGACGAAGCACAGGGATTGTCTGCTACACCAGGTCATCTGTCACCTGATGAGCCGGAAGTGCAGGCCACCCTTCTTTGTGAAGATGACTTTCAGCCTCGGTCCGATTCTGAAATGAACGAAGGGCCAAGGCATCATTCAAGGGCTTCATCTCCCAGAGCCACTAGCGACAAAGGCCATGCTGGAGAACTGAGATACGTCCTGGAAGCCAGTGAGCAGTTTGTATGTCACTCTAGCTCTGAAACCACAGGGATGGAGGAAGAAGCACCCAGAGCCCCTTCCTCTGCTGATCCCTGGGTCTCCCACAGGCTCTCCTCGGACATGGAGCGGGACAGGAGGGTGTCCTCTCAGGCCCCTTGTTGTGATCCTGGGAGGGCTCCACAGAGGCAAAGCCACTTAGCTGCCTGGGAGACTGAAGATGGCACTTTCTCTGGCAGGTGGGACAACAGGCCTGGGCTGCGAGAGCCAAAGCGGCCAGAATCGCCATATGGAAGTGGCTCTAGCAGCTTCTTCGTGGCCGCACAGGGAGGCAAAAGAGCCCATGTTGAAAGGCAACCTATGGTATGTGATTTTCACAGTGCCACCAGCCTCCCGGGGCCTCGTGCTGATGCCATCCAATGCCCTGAGGCCTCCTCCACTGACTTAGAAGAAGCGATGACAAGTGCAAAACACCCTGCAGTTCTGGCTGGAGCGCTGAGAAAGGTCAGCATGGGAGCCCCCAAGCAGCAACACGTGAAGTGGAAGGAGAAGACGGAGTCTATGCTGCCAGAAGCCTGCAGGGCTGGCGGCAAAGCTTTCAGGCCAACTTTACCAAATCAGAGACCTAGACCAGATCCTAGGGGTGTTGGAGAGGAGCCCCCATGTGCATGCCAAACTGAGACTTTAGCCAGCTTTGTCTTAGAAAGCCCTGAAGACAGTGGGCCACTTGGCTTATCTCGGAAGGAAGAGGAGAGCAAAGCTTTTCCTTGTCAACCCCTGGGTAGTGCTCTTATTGCTGGGAATGTCTGTACCTTCCATTCTTCCCCTCCACTGTGTGCTAGAGATGGTGACCCAAGGAAGGGGATTGCCAGGGCTCACCATTCATCCTTCATAGAACCTTCCAGGTTCTGTGAAATGGATGAGGGAGAAGGCTCTTCCACAGAACCCGACATGCCCCTGGCACATAGCCTTGAGCTTAAAGAAAGAAATGTGGGCCTCAGGCCAAGAGACAGCAGCCCTCTTGAGCCAAGCACCACAGCTGCTGGCCTGTCTCGCACTCAGGGCTGTAGCTCTTCATTCACCCCTGGCACCAGAGCAAGTTCCTTCACTCCCTCCACGGCTGATGGCAGCTCAGGGCTGGTAGGGGATCCTGAGAAGAAAGGCAGCACTGAGCTTGAGGGCTCATACTTGGAGGCACCGAGGACTCTGACGGAGAGTTCCATAGGTGACCAGCATGGACAGGCAGCTGACATGGAGCCAGAGCCACCTGTAACAGCCTGGGGCCTACACAGCCCGAATGGAAGCAAAGGGTTCACTGTGAGTGAGTTGGCGGTAGAAGAACAGCATAGACAGCTAGAAAACACCATCAGATCCCTTTTAGAGAAGACACAGCCCAAGTCCTTGGATCCCCAAGCCAAGTGTGTAAGGTTAAAACACGTGTGCAGTCCTCAGGCCGACTGTGCCTGGGAGGAAGAAGAGCAGCAGAGAGATGAACCTTCTGGAGAGAAAGACTCTGCCCGGCACAGAAATCCCCCACCCTCGGATGGAGATGGCTTGCACTACTGTCAGAATAGACACGCTAGGAAAGCTGAGGCGGCTATGACAAACTCTCCCGTGTTCCAGAGTTTCTTCTCAGGTTTTGAGGACACAGCTTCTGGACCCCTGGAGCAAAGTGAAGTGCCACAGCCCGCTGCCTGGAGGCCTGGCCAGCCCTGTTCTGATAGGAAGCAGCCAGCCCCCCATCACAGGCACTCACATCCTATAATTGCAGTCTTCTCTGGTCCCCAACACTTCAAGTCCTCCTCTAGACCCCGGTTCTCTGTGATTAACTCATCTCGGTCCCTTCAGGAGCTAATGAGCAAGGCCTGTCCTTGCCCTAGAGAGGGGGACCTGCAGAGCCTGTGTCCCAGCCACCGTTCCTCAAGAAAGCCAATGGCAAGAGCCGCTCTGCGGGCTGAGGACAGCAATCAGATGGTCTTATCTAACTTCTACAGTAGCTCTGCTGATCATGGGGCCCAGAAACCTGTCACCCCTCCTTATCCCACACTCCCCACGTGCTCATGCATGCCAGCCCCCAGTTTTGTGAGCAGTTGCATGTATAGCTCTTGGGAACAGGCTCCACAGGGAAAGCCAGAGACACTGGGTGTCCAGGTCAGGCCAGAGAACTGCTTTTCTCCAGTGGACAAAGGGATGTTAACCCTTGACTCCAGTGACAGCACTCCTTCCATCCCGCCTCTGTCTCCAGACGGGTCTGTGTGCATCGGTTGGAAGCAGTATGTATTTGGCAGTACAGCTGATCTCCTTTTCAGTCAGAAACCATCGAATGTGGCCCACGGCACTGGCATGGACAGTGGCTTAGAAGATCAGAATTCTCCACTCAAGTCTCAGGTCGGTGCCCATGCCAGAACCCTGTCAAGAACACACAGGAGCACAGAGCATGCCCAAAGCTGTGTTGAGGCTGGGAAAGTACTGAATCCCTCATTGGCCTTGAGGGATCCCTATGTGCTCACTGGTACTGGTGTGGCCCCCACTTTAGATACCAATAGAAGACTCCAGTTCCAGGGCTCTAGTGATGGGGCAAGCTGTCTTCGGAGTGAGCCCCTATTGGCTGAGGAGAACGCTGCCACTCCAGTGGACAGGGCTGGGCTGCTGGGCAGGGCAGAGGCCCACCCCGGGGGGCTGGCCAGGAGGAACACCTTGGAGCAAGGCACGCAGACCCCTGGCTGCAGGCGCCGCTGGAGCTGCACCGACATCTCCACGCAGCCTGACAGCGACAGACGGCCAGCCTGCGACCTGGCCTCCTGGAGCAGCATGCACAGCCTGTCTCTCCGCCTGTCTCAGCTCCTGCACAACACCTCGCAGCTGCTTGGAAGCCTCTCCCAGCCAAATGTGGCCTCAAGGAAGCAGACCACCAATGTTTCCGCTCCAGAGGAGGCCCTGCCTGTCCTCAAGATGGAGGGAGCTACTCAGACTACCTTGGATAAAGGCACCCAGACCGATCTCATCTCCCCATTCCCTCCCGCCCCCGCCCCAGGGACCAAGCCTCCAGAAGTGAATGTGAGCCTTGAAGTGCTAGCCTCCGGCATCAAAACCACATCTCTAGGAAAGGGAGATACCCCAGTGGCACTCGAGAAGAGAGAAGCCGAGGAAACACCACCAAAAATGGCAGCATCCCCAGAGGTTCATGAAGGAAGGTGTCAGAGCCCGCCAACACCTCTGTCTCCACTGAGGCTTCAGAAAGTGTCTCTTGAGCAGAGCCTCCCTTCTGTGAGCCCCCTAGCTTCTGAAGCTGCTCCACCTCCTGCCCCCCAGCCAGGATGCCCTGGCATGGATAACAGCCCCCACATTCCTTGCCCCCTAAGGCTTGTCCCCAGTACTCCAGACTTCCCCCTGGAGCTTGGTGTCCAGAAGCAGCCGGGCCCGGCGAGTGCCACGGTGGACAGGGCCTCCTCGCCAATCCTTATTCTCAGCGCAAGCTGCCAAGAGTCAGACCCCGCTCAGCCCCCCTCCACCCCACCTCCTGGAGGCCACCTGGGGCCTTCCACTAGCCCACAGCTGGGGCCCAGTGCCTCAAGGCCGCCAGGGGATGAGGGTCCAGATGGGTTGGATGGCTCCCTGAGTATCGAAGCTCAGAGTCAAGGCCAAAAACACTCAGAAAGGAGTACTGACAGCTTCCTCCTCGAGCCAAGCTCCCCGCGCAGCCCACGGCGGCGCTCCAGAGTCCAAGCTGCTGGGCAGCCACAGCCAGTGACTGCCACCAGGGCGCAGTGCAGACAGCCCCCTTCCGTGAACAGCACCGGGGCGCAGTGCAGACAGCCGTCTCCCACTCCCGGGGCACAGTGCAGACAGCCGTCTCCCACTCCTGGGGCACAGTGCAGACAGCCGTCTCCCACTCCCGAGGCGCAGTGTAGACAGCCGCCTCCCGTGAACAGCACAGGAGCACAGTGCAGACAGCCATCTCCCACAACCAGCACTGAGGCGCAGTGCAGACAGCCGCCTCCCGTGACCAGCACTGGGGCGCAGTGCAGACAGCCGCCTCCGGTGACCAGCACCGGGATGCAGTGTAGACAGCCGCCTCCTGTGACCAGCACTGAGGCGCAGTGCCGACAGCCCCCTCCTGCAACCAGCACCGGGGCGCAGTGCAGACAGCCGCCTCCCGTGACCAGCACCGGGGCGCAGTGCAGACAGCCGTCTCCCACAACCAGCACCGGGGCGCAGTGCAGACAGCCGTCTCCCACAACCAGCACCGGGGCGCAGTGCAGACAGCCGTCTCCCACAACCAGCACCGGGACGCAGTGCAGACAGCCGTCTCCCACAACCAGCACCGGGGCGCAGTGCAGACAGCCGTCTCCCACAACCAGCACCGGGGCACAGTGCAGACAGCCCCCTCCCGCGACCAGCACCGGGGCACAGTGCAGACAGCCATCTCTACCCCCAAGGAGCCAGAGGCTACTGGGAAACTTGGCTTACCCAGAGCCAGGCGCACTGAACCTTGGGGGGCCGGGCAGGCCTCCAGCAGAGCCCCACCCCATGGTGGACCTCTCCTCTCCATGGAGGGAGCTGCAGCCCCTCCCTTGGTCCGCTGACACTGCAGAGTCTCGAGGTCCTGCCTCGGGCTCACCTCATGCCTGCAGACCCCAGAAGCTGCTGCGCTCCATTTCCCACATGTGCCTGGTCTCTGAGCGCCAGCATCATAGCCAGAGGGACAGGTATGGGGTTCAGGATGACTCTTCTGGGGGGCTGGGTATGAGTGAGAAGCTGAGGACCTGCTCAAGACAGAAGAGACGGAGGCCTCCACAACTTCCCTGTGACCAGAGCCACAACGCTGAGTGGTCCCAGGCGAAACCGATTCCCCTGCAAACGGGGGTCCACAAGCCCTCACTGAGCATGGAGCTCATGGAAGCGAAGTTGCATCACGGCTTCGGGGAGGTGGATGCCCTGCTGCAGGTGCTGCAGAACGGGACTGGGGAGGCACTAGCCCCGGAGCCCCCGGCGGGCAGCTGGGAGGAGCTGTACACTCGGTAAGGGCCGGCCTGGAGGGCAAGGGGTGGCCGAGGTGGAAGAGAACCTGAGAAAGTGGAGGGTGTTCTCTGCCCACACTCAGCTCTGGCATCTTCCGGGGGCTGGAGAGCACTTCCAGCTTCAGTGACTCTGTCCCATTTCTCAGGCAGAGAAAAGCCATCGAGACCCTCAGGAGAGAAAGGGCTGAGCGACTTCAGCACTTCTATCAGACACAAAACCTCTGCCCCAAGAAACAACTGAATCTCCAGCTCACCCACGATCCCCCCACGTGGGAGCCTGACTTGCCCAGCAGGCGCCGGGAATACCTGCAGCAACTGAGGAAGGAGGTTGTGGAGACCACCAGGTAAGGGGAACCCACCGGCCTGCAGGAAGTGGCTTTGGGGGGGGGGGAGAGGAGAGTTTTAGCATCTTAAGGGTCTTCCATTCTGTGGCAAATGAGGTGACTCTGGGAGGCTGGGACGCACGGAAAGAGGAGGATAGATGGGAATGGATGAGGGAAATGGAGGTGGAGAGAAATCCTGGGAAAGGATGGACTGCACTCTGCGTGTCTCGACAGTCTGTAGACCTGGGTCTTCGAATGGCATGGCCGCCTTGCTCGGGCAGCCTCTCCTGACGTGAGAGCTTGACTCTGTGGGCAAAGGGGAAGATGATGCTGCATCAGCCAGGTGGAAGGTCGGTGCTGTCGCCATGTCACTGCCATATTGGAAAGTCTTTCCACCCTGCAATCTCCCCTAGGAGCCCAGAGGAAGCATCCAGGTCTGCTGAGCAAACCTGTGACATTGAGCTCATGCTGAGAGACTATCAGCGGGCCCGAGAGGAGGCCAAGCTGGAGATTGCCCGGGCGCGGGACCAGCTGTGGGAGCGGACTGAACAAGAGAAGCTGGGGATCCGCCAGAAGATCATTTCCCAGCTGCTGAAGGTGAGGACTGGAGCCTGGAACCGGGGAAGCCCTGGCTGTGGCTGCCTCTGAGTGTGTGTGTGTGGGGGGGATGGACGGGATAGGACCGCTGCCAGCTCAACACAGGACTCCTCCTGCCTGCACCATAGCAGCTCCTGCCCCTAGGCCAGGCCTGGGAGGAAGTGGCTTCTGTGCTCACCTAGTATGGGGCAGCCTGAGGAGTGGCTGCTATGGGGAATTGGCGGTGGGAGGCAGGAGGCACAGGAGCTGGGTAATGGGGGAGGGGAGAAGGGGATAGGGGTCATGAAGGTGTACCAGAAGCTGCTTGATGATCGGTCCTTCCCAGGAAGAGGAAAAACTCCACACACTGGTCAACTCCAGCCCCCAGAGCACCAGCTCCAATGGAAGCCTCTCCTCAGGCATCACCTCCGGATACAACAGCAGTTCTGCTTTCTCAGGCCAGCCCCAGTCCCCGGAGGCGATGGTGAGTGAGCAGTAGACACTAGGAACAATCCAGCAAGCCAGATAAGCACTAGGCCCTCCTCGGGGGACCACTGTAGATGTGAGCCCTTCCCCCAGCCTTGAGACTTGCCTCCCTGTCCCTCTGTCTAGATCACCTGGTCATTCCAGTGTGTGTTTTGTAGATGCCATCTGATGACACAGCAGCGAGCAAAACTATCCTCGTCTCTTAGAAGGGCAGCTATTTTATGATTCATTACTGTTGCAGTTATTTGGGTAGGGACACTAAGCCAGCATAAAACAGTGTCTAAGCCCCTAGGTGAGTAAAGATCCTGGAGAGAGAGTGCATGCATTTAAACTGAGGCTGAGCCAGGCCCTAAGTGCTCAAACCTACAGTCATAGTGACTCAGGAGGCTGAGATCTCTGAAGATAATGGCTCGAAGCCAGCTGGGGAAGAAAGGCCTATGAGACTCCTATGTCTGCTTAAACAGCAGAAAACCAGAACTGGAGGTATGGCTCAAGTGGTAGAGCACCAGTGTTGAGTGGAAAAGGCTAAGCAGAAATGTGATGTCCCAAGTCCCTAGTAATGGCAGACACATGCACAGAGTCTAGAAGGATGAGAGGTATTTAATGCAGAACGTGCTTAGATACTGGAATTGGGAGAGATCCCGGGGCTCAGCAAATGAGGCCTCGAGGAAGGGAGTTTGAGGACCTAAATGACAGCAGGTGGCTGGAACAGAAAGACATGAGACCAGATGCTGGTGGCTCAGATTTGTAATCCTAACTAGATGGGGAGGTGGGGGGGGGGCGAGATCTGATAGAAAGCTTTTACCTAGAAGAATAGGATGATGAGATTGGAAGAGGAAGCAAGAGAGACCTGTTAGCTGACCCTGGCAAAACTGAGCAAGATGGTGAGCGCTTGGTTTAGGCGCTGCCAGTGTAGAGAAATGATTGTGGATCTAGGGCTGGGAAGGTGGCTCAGTGGTAGAGCACTTGCCTTGCATACATGAGGCCCTGGGTTCGATTCCTCAGCACCACATAAGCAAAAAAAGCCAAAAGTGGTGCTGTGGCTCAAGTGGTAGAGCACTAGCCTTGAGTTGAAGAGCTGAGGGACAGCGCCCAGGCCCAGAGTTCAGGCCCCACGACCAACAGGGAAAAAAAAAGAAAAAAAAGAAATGATTGTGGATCTTGACTAAGCAAGTAAAGGACTAGGTACTGGATGTTAGCAGAATGGGAGAGAATAGTAGAGAACGGTACTCACTTGTTTTTCAAGCCCTGGTCCAGGGCCTGGGGGCTTGTCCCTGAGCTTTCTTGTTCAAAGCTAGCACCCTACCACTTGAACCCAGCTCCACTACCAGCTTTTTTAGTAGTAAACTGGAGATAAGAATCTCATGGGCTTTCCTGCCTAGTGTGGTTTTGAACCACAATCCTCAGATCATAGCCTTTTTTTTTTTTTTTTAAATCGGTCATGGGCCCGAACTCTGGGTCTGGGCGCTGTCCCTTAGCTTTTTAGCTCAGTGCTAGCCCTCTACCACTTGAGCCACAGTGCACTTGTGATTCTCATCTTCTAGACATCATCTGTCCGAGTTTGGTGTCTGTTTCTGGGGATATTATGTGCAACCACATGGAAATGCATATCTTTCTATAAAGCTCATGAGTGGAAGCACCCATTTTGTCACTTGGTGGTTGTCTTTGTTTTGGTTGAGGGGCTTAAACTTGGGGCCTGGGCACTGTCCCTGGGCTCTTCTGCTCAAAGCTAGCACTCTACCACTTTGAGCCACAGCTCTTCTTTCAATTTCCTGGTGGTTTATTGGAGCTAAGAGTCTCATGGACTTTACTGCCTGGGCTGACTTGGAACCATGATCCTCAGATCTCAGCCTCCTGAGTAGCTAGGATGACAGGCGTGAGCCACCAGCACCTGGCATCATTTCTTATTTTTATTTATTTTTTTGTCAGTCGTGGGTCTTGAACTCTGGGCCTGGGTGCTGTCCCTTAGCTTTTTAGCTCAATACTAGCGCTCTATCACTTGAGCCACAGTGCCACTTGTGGTTTTCTGGTGGTTAATTGGAGATAAGAGTCTCATGAACTTTCCTGCCTGGGCTGGCTTTGAATGGCGATTCTCAGGTATCAGCCTCCTGAGTAGCTAGAATTACAGGCATGAGCCACCAGCGCCCAGCTCATCTCTTATTTTTTGAGGTGATTTTTTTTCCCATTTATATAGCCCACTTTGATTTTTTTTCCTAAAATCTTTTGGTTTTGATTTATCTATCACTAAGTTCTTGTCTTGAAAGAAGCCACAAGTTAGGACATGAAGGCAGAGGTAGCATGTGGGTGCTTTTAAGATCTGGGCTGAGGTCAAGGCCATGCTGTTGAGCAGCTGGCTGAAGTTGGAAGAAGGGTGAACGCAGGACCTGGTTTCACATTACGACCTCTGGCTTAGCTACTACACTTGGGGCCATGGGTCAGCTTTTCCTCTCTCTTACTTTCCTCCAGCTTTAGTATCTACACTCAAACCCCTCCATCCATAGCTGCCTTGCTGTGGCCACAGTTGTGATGTCTGTAGGAACTGTTCTGCAAGCAGCCTTTAAGTCTTTGGCATGGAAAGAAAAGACATAGTCGAGGTAGGGTTCTCTTGCTAGTGACGTCTTGGGAGCATTCACCTTCTTCCAACAGCCAACACAGCCATCACAGTAAAAGCTGTTAGGTACAGTCGGAAATGTTTATGTGTGCCTGCTTTATGCTTCTCTGCTTCTGAGCCCTCTCTGTTCTGCAGGGGGACACAGACTTGTCTGATTCCAGAGACACCTGGCTAGGAGAAGGGCAGTGCCGTCCAGCAGTGAGGAACAGTCACCTGGATGTGGCAGGGTCTGCCTGGAAGAGCTCAGTCTACAGTGAGTGGGGGAGGGGGGCAGAGGGTGTGCATCTGCTTAGTGTGGGGACCCTGCTATGTCACAGGGTCGCTGGCCATCTCAATTTCCACCTACTTGTTGTAGGCCGCAGAGCCTCCCTGGGCAGCTGCTACTCCCAATCCAGCATCTCCAGCTTGGTCAACTGCTTCTCCGCCTCCTCCTATCAGGAGTTGGCCAAGCATATCGTGGACATGACAATGGCTGATGTGAGTCACTTCTACTCATCCCCACCATTGCTTTAGCCAGACCTCTGCTGGGTGGGCAAGGAGGAAAGATATGCTTGGTAAACTGAGGGTCTGATTTGCGCTACCCCACTAATTTGGCCAATGTGTCTCCAGGTAATGGCTGCTTGTTCAGACAATCTTCACAACCTCTTCAGCTGCCAGGCAACAGCTGGATGGAAGTAAGAGCCTTGGGCAATGTCTTGGTCCAACCCTGCTGTCCTGTTGGGGTTTTTTTCCTTCCCTCTGTCTAGATTTCTGGAGTCCCTCACCTGGGGCTCCTCCTGGAGCCCATTTTCACCTCCTCTTTGTGCTCTGGTCCCCTTAGCTATCAGGGTGAGGAGCAGGAGGTGCAGGTTTACTACAAAGAGTTTTCTTCTACTCGGCATGGCTTCCTGGGGGCAGGTGTGGTGTCCCAGCCGCTGCCTCATGTGTGGGCAGCTGTGAGTGACCCCACCCTGTGGCCCCTGTATCACAAGCCCATCCACACAGCAAGGCTGCATCAGCGGGTGACCAACAGCATCAGTCTGGGTGAGCCAAGGGAGGGAGGTGTCAAGCGGGCCCTGGCCAGGGATCTGAAGTAGATGGAGGGACCAGGTACCGGCTGCTCACGCCTATTATCCTAGCTGCTCAGGAGGCTGAGATCTGATGATCATGGTTCAAAGCCAGCCCAGGCAGGAAAGTCCATGAGACCCTTATCTCCAATTAACCATCAGAAAACCAGACGTAGCACTGTGGCTCAGGTTGTAGAGCGCTCGCCTTGAGCTGAAGAGCTAAGGGACAGCGCCCAGGCCCAGAGTTCAGACCCCACAACCAAACCAAAAAAAAGAAAAAAAGAGAGATGGGGCTGGGAAGGTGGCTCAGTGGTAGAGTGCTTGCCTTGCATGCCTGAGGCCCTGGGTTCGATTCCTCAGCACCACATGAGCAAAAAGAAAAAAGCTGGAAGTGGTGCTGTGGCTCAAGTGGTAGAGCGCTAGCCTTGAGCTGAAGAGCTGAGGGACAGCGCCCAGGCCCAGA